GACACTTAACTGACTGAGCCACCCAGCACCCCTGGAGTTTGCATTCTGAGATGTGACCACAATTCTAGATGATGCAAAAGTTTGTTTAAGCTATGTTAATAAAGGTACAGTTGATGCAAATATGTGTGAGTAGCAATCGAGTGTCATGCTGACCATTTTTTTTCTTATAAACATTATTTTTTTACCGTTCACAGTCAGATATACATCTGAAATAGATTTTGCGTATGGTGTGAAGTAAGAGTCAGCATTCTTTTTTCCATGAATAGCCAAATCACCCAGGACCATTTATTGAAAATCCTTCTCCCCATTAAGTTCTCTACTGCATTATACTGGAATCTTTGCCATAAATCAGGTGACTATATATCTGTGGGCCTTCCTCTGTATTCTGTCTGTACTATATTCCATTGATTTAGACAAATCAAATTTGGTACAAATATTGGTACCCAAATCACATTGTCTAATTAGTATCACTTCATAATAGATACTGGTATCTGTTAACTTAAATCCTCCAGCTTTGTTCATTTTCAGGAATTGCTTTGGCCTTTCTTTTCTTCTTCTTCTCCTTTTTTTTGGTTTTGGCTTTCTTTGCTCTTTGCATGTCTGTCTGAATTTTAGAAAGGTTTGTCAATTTTTACACGCACAAATAAATCTACTGCAATTTTGACAAGGATTACTTTGAATATGTAGAATAATATGAAAGGAATATAGTGTCAATATTGAATCGTCTAATTCCTGGATATGGTATATTCCTTTATATACTTCGGTCTCATTAATTTCTCTCAACAATGCTTTGTAATTTTCAGCAATTTTCTCACTTTTGTGAGATTTATTCCTAAGTGTTTGATATGGTTTAATGACACTATAAATGATAATGTGTAAAATATGATTAATTCTTATATTTTGATCTTGTACCAGTCTTGTTAAATTCACTTTTAAATTTTAGCAGTTTGTCTATAAAGTCTTTTATGATAATTTTATTTCTATCCCCATGCCATTTATTTCCTTTTCTTACCTTTTTGTGCAGGATAGTACAACTCCAGCAAAACTTTGAATAAAAGTGGTTGTGGTGGACATTTGTGTCTAGTTCCCAATCACAGGGGAAAATATTTTCAGATGTAAACATTAAGTATGATACATACTATAGGTTTTTTAATATATATGTATATTAAAATATACATATATATTTAAAAGCCAGAGTAAAGAAGTGCCTTTAAATTCCTAATTTTCTAAGATGAAACAATAAATAAATAGGCATTAAACATTCTAAATTATTTTCATCTGTTGTGATGATTGTATTATTTTCTCCTGTTTTCAGTTAATGTGGTCAAGTACACTGATTGATTTTTGAATTAAAAAAACTATTCTTGCATTCCTGGAATAAACCCCAGATGGTCATGGTCTATTTTTCTTTTTCTATGTTACTGGACCTGCAAATATTCTGCTTAAAATTTCTGCATCTATGTTCATATTGGCATGGTATGTATTTTACCATGTTTTCTTTAAGCTTGCCTCAATCATATTTTAAAGATATCTCTTTTCAATGAATTCTCAGGATACAAAATGAACATACAGTAGTGTACAAAATCAGTAATGTTTCTATACACTAACAATGAGTTACCTGAAAAAGAAATAAAGAAGACAATCCCATTTACAATAGCATCAAAAACAATAAAATACTTAGGAATAAATTTAAACAAGGAGGTGAAAGATTTCTACACTGAAAACTCTAAGATGTTGATAAAAGAAATTGAAGAAGACATAAATAAACAGAAAGATATCTTGTGTTCATGGACTAGACGAATTAATATTGTTAAAATGTCCATACTACTTCAAGCCATCTGTGGATTCAGTGCACTCCTTATCAAGATTCTAACGGCATTTTTTTTTTTTTTTACAGAACTAGAAAAAGTAATCCTAAAATTTGTTTGGAATGACAAAAGACCCTGAATAGCCAAAGCAATCCTGAGAAAGAAGAACAAAGCTAGAGGTATCACACTTCTTGATTTCAAACTATATTACAAAGCTATAGTAATCCAAATAGTATGGTACTGGAATACAAAGAGATGCATAAACCAATAGAGCAGAATTGAGAGTCCAGAAATAAACCCATACATATACAGCCAACTAATATTGGACAAGGGAGCCAAGAACACTCAATGAAGGTGGTCTCTTCAATAAATTGTCCTGGGAAAATAGGATATTCACATGCAAAAAAATAAAACTAGATCCCTATCTTATACCACTCACAAAAATTAACTCCAAATGGATTAAAGATGGGGCACCTGGGTGGCTCAGTCAGTTAAGCATCTGACTTCGCCTCAGGTCATGATCTCACCATTTGTGAGTTTGAGCCCATGTCAAGCTCTGTACTGACAGCTCAGTGGCTGGAGCCTGCTTCAGATTCTGTGTCTCCCTCTCTCTCTGCCCTTGCCCCACTCGTACTCTCTCTCTCTCAAAAATAAACAAACATTAAAAAATTCAAAATGGATTAAAGACTTAAATATGAGACCTGAAACTATAACTCTCGGGAGAAAAGATAGGAAATAAGCTCCTTGATATGGGTTTTAGCAATGGTTTTTTGGATATGACTCCAAAATCTCAAGGAACAAAAGCAAAAATAAACAAATAGAACTAGGTCACGCTAAAAAGCTTCTTCATAACAAAAGAAACAACAAAATGAAAAGGCAACCACAGAATGGGATAAAATATTTGCAAACAACACATCTGATAAGGGGTTAATATCCAAAATATATAAGGAACTTATACAACTCAATAGCAAAACAAAATATAACATATTCCAAGTAATCCAATTAAAAACTGAGCAGGGGCGCCTAGGTGGCTCAGTTGGTTGAGTGTCCAGCTCGATTTTGGCTCAGGTCATGATCCTAGGGTCATGGGATTGAG